TGGTGTTTGTAAATGGGATCACAATTCCTCATCTTGTACAGCAATTAACCACTAAGAAGAATATATGCAGTGTATTATTTGTTGAAACTGTCCTTCCGATATGATTTGAAACTGTCTCATTGCTATCTGTTTGTCAATAAAACTTTGAAAAAAAAAAAATGTTATTAGTGGAAGGGAAATGACTAGAGAAAAATGCATTCTAGGAAAGAGGAAATTAAGTACCCATGCACGTTGAGGACAGACTATTCCTCAAACCCTTCTCCTGAGCTTATCCCTAAACCACATGCCAAACACATATCTATATTAACACCCTGTAATAGTCAGATAGGCTTAACATTTATTTAAAACTACTCCGCTGGGGCTGGGGAGATAGCTCAGTAGAATAACCGCTTGCTTGGCAAGCTCAAGGGCCTGAGTTCAATTTCCGGTTAAGCAAAAATCAATCAATCAATCTACTCTGCTGAAATCATATTCACAATGATTTAAATGCTTTACATTTAAAACTACTACATTTACAAAAACACTGAAAGTTCACACTGTGTATAAAACTAGTATAACACAAATTCAAGACTATAGGTATTCTTTCAAATTAAGCAGACCCAGGTATACATTCTTGTATTGGCCATAATCTGGGACAATAAGTTAGCTTCTTTACCACAAGCCTCTCTATCTCTTCTCTGAAATGAAACATGTATGACAAAGCCTTGCCTTATCTTTTTTTTTTTTTTTTTTTTTTTTTTTTTGGCAGAACCGGGGATTGAACTCAGATCCTTGCATTTGCCAGGCAAGCGCTTATCCTACTGAGCCACCTCCCCGGCCCTGCCTTGCCTTATCTTTTAGGGTTAGATGATTACAAGAGTAACCCTGAAGGAAGATATAGGTAATGGTGCCACCATGTTTAACTTGTTGAATGTGCCTTATCAACTATGATATAATCAACTCTGTATTCCTGTGGCCAAAAATGGCAAACTAAGCTAAAGTCAGACATGCTGACATCAAGAATAACTATAACTCATCACTTAAATTTTCAATAATATTTCCTTGGGCCAGGGAGATGGCTCAGTGGAATAAGCACTTCCCTGGCAAGCACAAGAGTCTGAGTTCAATCCCCGGTTCCACAAAAAAATAATAATAATAATAATAATAATAATATTTCCCTATAATAAATGGGCTTTAATTTATAGAAAAATGACATTAAATTCAGATGCAAAATCGTATCTGCAGAAAAAGGTGCCTCTATATTTTTTGCTGGCCTTACCTGCCCAAATACACTCAAATGCTATGAGTAGCAGTGCAATTCACTTAGGGTACTACAAGAAATAAAGATGCAGTACACAAAGATTTCCAGAAGGTATAAGCATTAAATAATCATGAAGACTGTAAAAATAATTTTTAAACAATTTCTAAGCTAGGGCTGGTGAGATGGCTCAGTAGTCTAAAGCACCTACCTAGAACAAGCTAAGCAAAGCACAGGGACTGTGGTTCAATACCTCAGCACCACATGCCAGCCAGCCCCGCCCCTGGTGGGCTGAGCTGGCCACACACACACACACACACACACACACACACACATAAATTAAATAAAAAAAAATTAAAAAAAAAAAAAAAACAATTTCTAAGCTAATGATTTGCACACACACACCCACAGGGGCATGGACATGCACACAGTATTTACCTGAAAGATCATGCCTAGTAATAAAGCTCTCAGGATTTGATGGAAATGTTCTTTCAACCGTAGTAATACGGCGTGCCACACAGATCATACAAGATTGCAAATCTACAATAAAAATTAAACCAGATAAAGATTATAATTGTTTTTAACACATCCATCCAGTAGCAGATCAAAGATAAGCAAGTAAGCAAAAAAATTAAAAACAAGGGAACTCCCAAAACTACAGTGTGGCTATGTGGTTTATATACATAAAGGTGTCTTTTCTTACCTTCACCTTCCTCCATCATAGCTCGTGGCTGAGACAAGGCAAAGCACTGCATTGTTTCGTATCTGTGGCGCATTTCAGGACTGGTATTCATGTCTTCCAGAACATCATGTGTGGTTTTTATCAACATACGACAATTAAATGTATGGCTCTTTTGTCTCTGGGTCTCATTCGTCCAGGGAACACCATTAACTTTGGAAAATAAATTGAGTTAAAAAAAAAAAAAAATCTGGTATTGAGCTGGGGATACAGTTCAGAGGCACAGCACCTGCCTATGAAAGCACAAGGCCCTGAGTCTGATTCCCAGTATGAAAAAAAAAGCTATCTCAATCTATGATATCATCAAAAATTCAACACATAAGACAGGTGTGATAATACATGCCTGAAGTTCCAGCTATTCAGTGAGCTCAGGCAAAATATGATTTAAGCCTAAGAGTTTGACATTAGCCTGAGCAACAAAGCGAAATCAAGTCTCAACCAAAGAGGAGGGGAAAAAGCTGTATTTTCTTGTTACATGTATCCATACTATGATCTACATTAACATTTCCAAACAAAAATATATAAAACATATGAATTTCAAAGTCAACAGAAATCTTACTATATATTTTAGCCACATAAAATAACGTATGTTCTATATTTTAAGTTTATTGAGGTGACATTTAAAGTATTTCATAATAACATCCTTCTACATGAATTTGACCACCTAGTTTCCTAAAAAGTACATTCAATTTTCTAACAAATGATGAAGGAGGGCCAGCAAGATAGCTCAGCAGACTAAGGACAGGAATTGTGGTTCGATCCCTGGCACCACATGCTACACCGGCCCCCTCACCAGCGCGCTGAGCCAACCACCAAAACTGGACATGGCGCCACACACCTGTAATCCCAGTGCGGGGGAGGCTGAAACAGGGGGATCACTAAAAGTCCAAGATGCATAGTGAGACTCTGTACCACATACATAAAAAATAATAGTAATAATGAAGGAAAACAAGTTATAGATATTCAGAAAATACGTACTAAGAGCCTACCTGTAGATTTTGGTAAGTTTTTAAGAAAATCTTTTCTGTCTTCTTCATGCAAGATATTGTAGACACTTGTATTAAGCAGGTCCTCTTGTTTGTATTGCAGGTACTGTGTAACGTTTTCTGACACAAATACAATGTTCCCGTCTCTATTCACCACAAACAGGAAGCCATCTAATGCCTACAATGGGTTATTAAAATGGGATGTCATCCTAGGCTGTTACAGAGTGAATTGCATCCACCACATAATTCTTACCATCAGTATGACAATATTTGTAGATACAGCCATTAAGGAGGCAATTAAGGATAAGAGAGTCATAAGAGCACGATGTTAACCTAACATGACTGGTATCCTTATTAAAGAGAGATTTAAAAAACAAAAAAGACACCAGGGTTACACAAACAGAGAAAGCATAAAAAAGACAAAGAGTGACAAACCAAGGAGAGATAAAGAGAAACCAATCCTGCTTATGCCTTGTTCTTTAACATAAGCCTCCAAAACTACAATAAAACTTCTCTTGTTTAAGTGACTCAAGTAACAAAAGAGGCATAGTAATAATAACCCACTTGGATGGAAGAGAGACTTGATTTAACAGTTATTGTAACCCAGGCATGGTGCACTCAGTCTTAAAAATCCTACCACTCTTAGCGGGCTGAGGTAGGCAGATCATAAGTTCAAGCACAATGTGGACAACTTAGTGACTTGACTTAGTGAAACTCTGGACAATAGTAAAATATAAATTGGTTTAGGTTAGCCAGGTGTGCCAGTACACACCTATAACCAGTAATGAAGGAGAAAGCCTGAGGCAGGAACATCACAGATTTGAGTACTACTTGGGCAAATTATTCAAATTTTTCTAGAAATAAAAAGTTCTGTTGGGGTCCTGCCCATTAGGTCAGTTGTTTAAGTGCCTGCTTAAGTGAAGGCAGTCAGCCTCAGGATACTGTGGGTCGATCCCAAGATCCTCATGCCTTACCAGACCTGCTCTTAAGGCATCCTGAGCCAGCCCGCCCCACACACACACACACACCAAAAAAAAAAAAAAAAAAAAAACCTTCTAAACTTAAAAAAAAATTCTGGAGGCCAGGGAGATGGCTCAGTAGAATAAACGCTTCCCTTGGCAAGCGCAAGGGCCTGAGTTCAATCCTCAGTCTACAAAAAAAAAAAAAAAATTCTGTTACCATAGCTCAGTGAGCATCTCTGAGTTAATCCCCAATAGCACCAAAGTAATAACAACAACAAATAAAAATACACTTCAAAGGCTAAGGTAAGGAGGATCATGAGCTGATACAAGCCTGGACCACAGGTAGGACACTAACTCAAAATAAAATGTAAATTGATTGGGGATGTAGCTCAGTTGGTAGTGTTTGCCAAGCATGTGTGAGCCCTGGGTTCAATGCAAGGGGAATAATACGCTATAGATGATCACTCATAGCTCTCATGCTACAGGAATTACTCTATTTGTAAATAAGAGCTTACAAAAGGCATTTTAAAAACTGTTGGAATAAACTGAAACAAACAAACAAACAACAACAACAAAAAAAAAAAAAAAATTGGCAATAAACTTTATGAAGAGCTTCATCCCTTGCTGTTAAAGTAGTGCCACAGGTTAATACAATCTATCCAAGGCTAACTAATTAACTAAATATAAAACAACAATTTATTAAGTTTTAAAACTTTCCCAATAATACAGAACAAAAAAAGAATATAAATCAAAGACCTAAGGGTGCAGCTCAATGCTAAAGCGCTCACCTAGCATGTATAAGGTTCTGGGTTTAATTCCTAGCACCACAAAAATTTGGCAAAGCATAGCAGAGTTCACACATCATGTACGAGAGACTAGGTGCAATCCCCTGAGCTACCCAAAGAACAAAAGTAAAAAAGCAAGGAACTGACAGCATGCCCATATGTGGATATAAAAATGCAGAAAAAATGTCAGGGCTAAAATAATGTCCATTATCTCTATGAAATACTGGTTTACTTTTGTGAAATGCATTACCTTTTCTGTCCTGTTGCTTCTTTGTTTTATGTTTATGTGCATGTGTGCTTTTCTGATTTGCTTCCATTAGAGGAAAGGACCCCCTGAGTTAAATATACTGTAAACATAAGTACACTTTAGTGTTATATTCAGAATACATGCTAAGTTCTGTCTCACAGAAAAGTCTTCTGGTTGCTGTTGTCCTCATTTTCTAAGCAATACTTTCTATACTTCATCATTTTAGAATATAACTGAAGTAGGGCTGGCCAAATGGCTCAACGGATTAGAGTGCCAACAAGCAGGTGGAGGGGCCAGGGGTTAGATTCCCAGGGCTGCCATGCCGACCCCGCCACTAAAGTGTGCTGAATGGCAATTGAGGCTGGGTGTGTTGTCTACAGCCATACCACCCTGATCGCGCCTCAGAAGCTAAGCAGGCTCAACCCTGGTTAGTACTTGGATGGGAGACTGGGTGTGGTAGCGTACGCCTGTAATCCCAACCTGAACACCTTGTAGACCCTTCCCTAAAATAAAAAATATATATATAACCAAGTAACAACACACTTTGGACACTTAAAATCTTTTGATTTACCTGAAGTAAAAGTGGCCCCAAAGAGTCTTTATCGATAACTCCCTGTCCTGTAGAGGATACATCAGCTTTCTGAACATCATCATCACTGCAAATAGCTTTTCCTGAAAATAATAAAAGAAAATACTATGAATAGCACATTTGAGTTATAAATAAAATCTTCCTTGAAACAGTTGACAAACACACACACACACCCCCTAAGATCTCAACTGAAAAATACTAAACTTCATGGTGGCATAATCCTATATTCCCAGCACTCGGGAGACTGAGACAAGCAGATTGTTGAGAGTTTCAGACCAGCCTGGGCTACAAAGTGAGCTCAAGGACAGATGAACTGCATAATGAGACCCTGTCTCGAAAAGACAAAAACCTAACTTTATAGATACCTGGGGAAGGTAATAGAGACCCAAAATTCTCTTTGATTCGTAGTAACTCACATCTTGCAAACAGGAAGCTATTACTTGACAGGATGAGCAATACTGAATTTCACTCAATTTTTTATTCGCTGTTTCTTCACAGACAAAACCTGATCACTTCAGCCAAGTCCTCCCTAGCCTCAAACATCTATAGTTCATACCTAAACAAGACACCCTGCTCAGGGCTGGCCAGATAGCTCAGCGAGCTAAAGCACCTGCTGAGGCAGAGCACAGAGACCAGGGTTTGATCTCGGGTTATGCTGGCCACGCCACCCGGGAGCAGTGAGACTGCAACTGAGATTGGACATGGTAGTGCGAGCCTGTAATCCCAGTGTTTGGGAGGATCACTATGAGTCCGATCTGCACGGTGAGACCCAGTTGACCCTGTACTAAATACATTTAAAAAAAAAAAAAAAAAAAAAAAAAAGTACCCTGCAAGGCAAATATAAGGGTAAGGATGTGGCTCAGTGGTAAAGCACTTGCTTAACATATGTGAGGCTCTGGATTTGATTTCCAGCACAAGACAGGGAAGAGGGAGGGCAAATGTAAACACAGTAATAACTTCTTTCCTAAAACAATTTTTCCATGTAGTATTACCTTGCTCTTTTATTTGACGTATCTGTCTTACTGTCTCCTTCAAAATTGCACATTTATCTGGTTTAACGTTGAAATTGTCAATATCACTAAGATTTGCAGATATCAGTTCAGCCAATTCTTCGATATATTTACTCTCCTGTTCTCTTCTCCACTTTTCACCACTGCAGGTAAGACTAAGAAGGAAGAAAAGCCATGATATACCTATCACAAAAAAGTTAGTGGGCCCTACCTGAGTTTTGTGGGCGCTGCTCACGGCTACGGCTCCTTAGGCTGGGGAGACAGCTCAGTAGAATAAGCACTTGCCTGGCAAGCACAAAGTCCTGAGTTCAACCCCGGGTTCACAGGCAGAACATTTGCCTAGCATGTTCCAGGCAAAAATTACCATCCGAAATGCTGCAGGAAAGGGGAGAGGGAGGGGGAGGATCTAGGGCTAGGGAGATGGCTCAGTAGAATAAGCACTTCCTTGGCAAGCAAAAGGGCCTGAGTTCAATCCCCAGTTCTGTAG